AAAGAACGTGCTTATTTATACTAGCAAAATGTTTAAAATTTCTACTTTTTTTTTAGTGATTCAACCTAAAGCATCAATAAACAGCTTGCATTTTCACAATGAAATAAATTTATTTTATTTAATATATGTTATAAAGATGATGTATTTTAATATTGTTTATTAATTTGAATACAAAAATTGAACACAAGTCCACATTTTCTCTTACACAAATACACGTGACAACTTATAAATGAATCTATTTTTTTTAATTTGCACCTTACAATTTTTATTGCGCGTAGTTAGTGCTTTTGCTTTTGTAGAATTTGCATACATTTTAGCACAAGGTTAACATAAGATGTATCGAATTACAAAATCCATGTAATTGAATTGAAAATGGTAAAGTAAAATGTTCATTTTTATAAAGAGAAACCTCGTTTCTAATAAAACGACCATTATGGTATCATTTGTATTCTGATAGTCAAAATAAATATATGATTATTAAAGGTATTTGTTTTACAAATAAGTATTACTGGCAATATATAATTTTAAAATAATTCATTGTACAATTCTAACTTTCTTCGTCTATTGTCATAGATTAAAAATGTCATAGAGTAGAAGAGCTTTATTTACCCATTTTTATTTTCGCTTTTTAATCTAATTATACATTTTGTGGGGTCGAAAACCAGGTTTGTTATCAGGCACCAGTGACCCGTACGTGAAATTCAAGGCTGGCGGCAGACTGTTGCACAAATCGAGGATAGTGTACAGAGACCTTAATCCAGTTTGGGATGAATGCTTCACTGTACCAATAGAGGATCCATTCGTACCAGTACAACTTAAGGTATGTACCTGCGTACAATTTTTGTGTACCCAACCATATTATTGTTACAGTCAGGGCTGATTTTTGTATTACTGGCACCGTGGGCAAGATTTATACGGCGCCACGTAACCGTACAAACCGATACGACGTGGCCGGTGGCCCCCCTTATGCGTATGTATTGCCCCTTTATATACGGCGCCCTGGGCGATCTCCCCGCTTCGCCCTACCTTCAAATCGGTAATGATTAAAGTTGAAGTCTAAGCCCTCTGTTATGGTGAACTTCGACTACCGTAACTAGTAACACACAGTTTTGTCTCTGTCTTTTTAAGGAGGAAGTAAAGGATGACAATGTATATCAATACATGTAGCATATCAGTCGCAATCTATATTTATTAAATTATAAAACAATTAGATTAGCAAACAATGGCTGATTATGTAATTGTAAAAAACATTTCGCGCAAAGAATATTAATTTTGTCGATTGATTTTTCTATAGTTAGTTGTCATTTTACACTCGTTTTATCTAAAGAAACCTTCTTAACACTCTCGTATATTTTACCCTTATGTTATTCACTATGATTTTCTTTTAAACCAAGAATTTACAGACAAGTAATAAAATCAAAACATTGTTTTTTTCTTCTCTATGTTTAAAATTGTTTTTCACTATAATTCCAGGTGTTCGATTACGACTGGGGTCTTCAAGATGACTTCATGGGGATGTGCTATTTGGAACTAACAGCGTTGGAACTCGGCAGAACTCAGGACTTAGTTCTCTGTCTCCGAGATCCGAACAAACCGAACCAGGACATGGGAGAGATCGTGCTTAACGTCACACTATGGCCCAAATCACAGGAAGATAAAGATCAGGTAATTTTAATATTTGACTATAGCATTAAAAAGTTTTATTATCACTGGATTTACGAGTACGTTTGTCAAATAATTTAAGTAAACTCCCTTTTCAAAGACACCATTTTCTCTAAGCCAATATTAGCCTGTGTAGTGAAAATAGGGTATAAAAATTATCTAATAACGAAATAATTCTAAAGGAAATGTAACAAGCTAGTATGGAAGATAGTACTCTTAGGATCTACGTCACCAAATTGTAAATTATCTGAAAACAATTGAACATGTAAAATATGTGATGGAAATATCGAATTTTGTTAACTTATCTGACAGTGACGTCATTTTTAAGCTATCTCAGCCAGTGATGGGACGGGCCCTAAAATTTTGCACATTATCTGACGAAATAAGCCTAATGTAGCTTTCTCTCAATATATTTAAACAATCGTAGTTAGTGTTTTTTAATCACAAAATTCTCTTCTATTCCTATAAAGCCATATATCGCTTTTAATTGAAACTAAACACACGTTTACACCAAGTTTTACTTGTATTTAAATATATATTAAAACACATGATCGGCTTAAAACATAACTCAATATAAATGTAAATATTCCTTTACGATGATAATATTCCGACCCAATTTGCGATCGAAGCGGTTTACGCCGCAATGAAAATATGTAAATAACCGAGAATATCTTGATATGGAAGGCAACTATTCCTATTGAAATGTTACCTTTGCAGAATTCTAAAAATACTGTAATTAAATTTCTAGCTAACTGAAAATTACTGTTACTGTTATATTCTAAATCAAAATGAATTCCTTTGCACGGGTATTTCCGGACTTATAAAACAAAAGTCATCTACAAATACCCGACCATGGCATTGACACTCAGATATTTGAAAGGTTACATTTAGAGCGCGTACACCATTGACTGAACTATCGCACAACTGTTTACTCTTTGATTCCTATTTATACTAATATTATGAAGAGGAAATATTTGTATTTTTGAATTTTTCTATGTATTTGATCCACGCAAAAACTAATGGGTTGATTTGAAAAATTCTTTCACCATTGCAAAAGGTAATTTATCTGTGAGTAACATTGCCTATATTTTGTACGAGCTGTTGCCCGCGACTTCATCCGCGTGGTATTAGAAAACATACGAACTATATAAATTACAAAAAGCTACGTATCCCTCGGGAGCCGGACATTTCTCGGGGATGAAGCTTATCCCATGTGTACTCGAGACTTTGTTTTATATTGTGCCAAATTTCAATAAGATATGTTGAACCGTTGCAGAATGATCGAGTAAACATTAAAAAACTAAATTAATGAATCCTACGGGAACCGTAACTATTCCCGGGATAAAAAGTAGCCTATGTGTTCTTCCAGACTATGCTCTAAACCTGTACCAAATTTCATAAAGATCCGTTCAGCCGTTTAGGCTACATACGCTAACAAACATCCATCCTTCCATCCATCCACCTAAACTTTCGCATTTATAATATTAGTAAGAAGTAAGATAATATTAGTAAGATTATTTTTTAATTTAACGCGGGCGATGTCGCGAGCAATAGCTTATATGGAGGCGCGCACACTATGTTTAACTTGTTACCGACAGCGCGGCAGCCAAAAATACAAAACACTTATTATCAACCAAACATGTCTATATTTAAAACTTATTTACACTAAAAATATACAAAACTTAAAACTCTCTTGATGCCATCTTGACTTCTTCTTTTTATATATTTTCTTTTATAAACGATTATTGCCTTGGTGGCCAGTATGCAACCTCTTTGGCTGTATAAATACTGCTTGTCAGGCCAAAGAGGTTGTATTTTGCACTCAACACACTACTCGATTTTTAGTTGTGCAACTAAACAGATGAATAAGCGGCGAAACAATCGACAATCGACAATCGCACAACAATTATTCGATAGTTTAATCAAAGGTTTGCGCCAGCTCTTATTGTATAGCTACTGTGTTTAAACGTATATATATTAAACTAGGTCATTATTCACGGTATCGGAAAGGGAGCGCTGGGTCAACCTATTTTAAGTTAAGCTTTAAGCTCTGCTATTGATCATACTAAGTTATGGACGACTATATTATTGCAAAATATAAAAGGTAAATTTCATTTTCAAGTAAAAAGTCTTGCGGTTTTATAAGTTTTGCTTTTGATCCAAACAGACATATAAAAACTACCTTTTGCTCGCGATTTGTCCTCGTGAAATTTAAAAAACATCTAATAATAAGTATCGTATTAGACACTCAGTAAATGCCGTTTTAATTCGATAACGTTTTCTATTTGGTTCAGTAGTTATGGAGTCTGTTACATACATATTTACAACTTTCTAATACAATTTGTATAATTAGATTGTTATGATCAAGATAATTTTCGCAAGTAATTCGTTACAGGATCTAAAATATTATCATCATCATCTCCCCTGCCTTATCCTACTCCCGTAGTGTCGGCGCACCGGGTTTTCGTCCTCCAAAGCACTCTATCATCCGTCATCTCAGTCATCACTCCCTTCTTGATCGTGTTACCTTTCACACAATCCTTCCATCTCTTTCTAGGTCTACCTCCACATTCATAACTAACGTCCGTCTTGTTACATGCGATTCATCCCTTCTCATTACATGCCCATACAACTCTAACCTTTTACTCCTTATTTTCTCAACCACTGGGTTCTTAAATATTATGGTATTTAATTTTGTAATTATTTTGTTAGGTTTCAAAGCAGATGCATCAATGCATTGTTATAATATAAATTTGTTTATATTCTTAATTTTGACCTAAGATTCGCTTTCAAAAGCTAGCTATTTGCACATACTTCCTATCTTTTGCGTCCTTGCACCATATTTAATTTCATTCCAAACATCCGAAATCGTCAGAATGATCGTTTAAACGTAGTTTTATGTATTCTTTCGTAAAGACGGTAATCATTCTATTTTTTTCATACTCGAATTCGTCCACAGAGTAATCGAACGACAGAGATTTCGTGTCAATAAAACGCTATGTTTAATGAAATTTTGTGGCGTTCTATTTATTTGACATATGGAATCAAATTATCTACATACACATTTCCTACCTTGATTGCGTCTACGGTCACATAAAATTGAGTTTTAATTGCCACACTATTTTTTATGTAACCTAACGCGACAAATGTCTATACGATTTTAATGCACTATAGTGTCTGATCGTATTAAGCAGTCCAATGCCCTGTCCCACCACTGGCTGATAGAGGCTCAGATAGCTTAAAATGACGTCACTGTCAGATAAAGGAACAAAGTCCGATATCTCCATCACATATTTCACACGTTGGATTGTTATCAGACAATTTACAATTTGGCCCTAAACGTACAGACTTCGCGTTAACACGCTAAGGGACATAATTAGTGACCAATATCTGGCAGTAAATAAATGTCAAGTTATGTTACTTAGAAATATTGACATTTACAAGCGTATGTTTGTCATGTTTGCAATAAATAAAATTATTGTTGATCTCTCTGTTTGCTAATTATACTATACCATGTTGCTATATTGCATTACTAGTAGTCAGCGGCCAGTCGCGAGCGGCGCAGCACGCGTATTCAAGGTTACCTCGCAACAAAACAAAATAAACACTAACGAGTGATAAAGTGCGTGTTACTTGTGAACATTTGAAGATTTATTATTGGTATTGTGTTATATTTAAGAAATACTTCAAATAAACTCAAATTAGTGTTACTAATATGTTTGTTAAAACTTCAGGAGTATGTCTAAGTTTGTGTGGTCTATGATTATTACTCAAACAAATAACAGTTAGCGGTTGATTTTGCTTTTGTTACTGTTACTGGCTATCTAAAAATATTGATTAAATCCTTTTTGGTTGACTTTTTAATAAATCGGTGTTAATTTTTAAATTCATAAATAAGAGTATGCGATACATCTTTTACTTTTTTAATCGAAGTTTACACATTCCCGTTTCGCTTTTTAAATGCCAGATATCGAATGCGTAAAAATACAATTATAACACTTATTTACTTGAATTTACGGGTCATTTTACCTTAATTCCATACTAAAGTTTTATTTTTTTTCATTCTGGAAGGATTGCCGAAATGCACATATGTTACAAAAGGCAAGGTTACAAGGTTATTTGGTATTTATAATCTATACTGGTATTATAAAGAGGAAAGATTTGTATTTTTGTATGTATTCAAATAACTCTAGACTACTGGGCTGGTTTAAAAATTCTTTCACCATAAAAAAGCTACGTTATCAGTGAGTATAGCTATATTTTCCATTATTAAAATCACGCAGGTGAAGTCGCGAGCAATAGCTAGTAATTCTATGAAAATGTAACATCAATCAATCTATTCAAATCTAAGGGAAGTTTCATTTCCCATGTTAATAAATTGGCAATAAATGTAGGTCATAATTGAAGTGGTCGTTATTTCTGTTTCTCCATAACATTTAAAAGCCATAAATAAAGCATTTGACATGTACATCCGGTCATAAATCAGTTGACAGTTCAATAAAATATTTTGTATACTTCCCGACGACATTTGGAACGTATGATGACGTCATAGTTTAGTAATTGGAATGTTCTTAGGCTAAATCTGATTTTAGATCTGAAACTATGATGGCGCGGCGCTAGTTATGGTATAAAGAGTTGACGTAACTTTAAGCTAAGATGTACTTGAATCACTCAGGGCCTGTCCCACCAAATTGTAAATTGTCTGATAACAATTCAGCGTGTAAAATAAGTGATGGAAATATCGGATTTTGTTATCTTATCTGAAACTGACGTCATTTTTGAGCCTTTATCCGCCAGTGGTGGGACAGGTCCTAAATTTTGTTACGGTAAGACCTTAAACGTTTATCTGTATGCATACGATAAGCATTACACGTACATTTTCACGTATATTCTCGTTCTACATTTCCGTTGTCATTTTAACAAAAGAAAGGCGGAGTTTTCTGATAATATGCTTCTGACAAAAGCAAGACATTATTTTTAAGGTTATTGAATATTCAAACTTTACATGTCTAAACGTAGAACTAGAATTAAATTCCTTTTGAGTATTAACAGACAATCTCTTCATAGCCTTTATTAATAACTACTATTTGAACGAGTGCACATCTTTGAACAAACTATGGCACAACTGTTGTGCGATTTTCGATGGTTTCGCAATTCAACTGTTTAGTTACACAACTAAAAATCGAGTAGTGTAATCTCCATATAAGTGGGGTGACGGTTGGGAATAATCCTTATTTTTGCCGTAGATTATTATCGTAATTTTTACAATCGTTGTTGATTTAGATAAATTACACATAATTTACAATTACAAATACTTTTTTACCAACAACTTTTAAACTATTTTGCATGTATGGACACTAATTTGATTCACGCGGTTAGACAAAATTAACGATCTCATATTAAACCTAGACGTTCGCTTTTAATTATAACCTCTAATTATTTACCTTCACTAGTTATACGTCCGAGCTTACTATGCATTCGTCTAAGATATGCCGGCCCAACTTAGTATATTTCCCTTTCCACACTTTTTCTTATAAGAAAAGTATGGTTAAGGAACGTGGATTTGACGGTGGAGGAGCATAGGAAAAGGAAATATCCTATTTATGTGCGTCTCCTACGTCAATAAAGGGTAACAAACGCATCTGTAATTAGAGATGTCTATGGGTAGCGGTAACTTCGCTATTTCGGCTGATTCAGGTGGCCGCTTACAATACATATGAAAAAATCCCTGCCCCAATGATTTTTTCATATGAAAACTAACGCGTCGGTTTTCATCGTGTTAATACTTTTTTTATACTCTTTTCTATTACCGTTAAATAATATAAGAATCTTAATATACAAGTGACGTATTGCAAAATATGAACTGAAAGGAAATTACTTGAACGTAATTTCGCCGTACAACCTTGTAGCGACCATGATGTCACCAGGGTTATCAGAGATCTGACACCATAATACCAAGGTCTCGCTGAATGGCGGACCGCGAACTAATCCACGTATCATGCTACACGATCATTGCATACCTAGCTACTTGATAACATACTAAGTGCAGTCGAGGAAATACTCGGTGTTCGACTTACGTAATAATTCCCTTCCTGCTTGCAACTAGACTATTAATCAATTTGGTAGCATTTGTAAAGGAAATGTCGGGAAAATAATAAAACGCAATTATCCGTGTACTATCCGATCATATTTCATACAAACACATTTAATAAATGCGTTCTATTTATTGTTCCGCGTCGTCATTAATATGCACAAAACAAATGACGTTAGCTTTCGAAACACCGTAAGATTCCTTGATCGTACTTCGGCGATAATATAGGTCGACCAATTGGTAGATTCATCTGTCTGTTGCACAGTGAATGAGTTGGTTAGATAGTCGCTTGACATATCGGTAAATTAGTCGATAGTTCGGTTAGCTAGTTATTATACCGCGCACAACTTTGACGAAACTATCGCACCACAGTTGTGCGATTGTCGATTGTTTCGCTGCCCAATCAACTGTTTAGTTGCACAACTAAAAATCGAGTAGTGTGCGCCCCTTCATATAGCTGATAGGAATTAAAGCGCGCCTAAACCAATCTCTAAACTGATCAATCGGGTAGTTGCAAGATGATTGCTCGACTAGTCTAGATTTCGACAACTAGTTTCTCGCTAAACTAGTATTTTGTATTAGAATAATCGTCCATTAAACAATAGACTAACGAAGAAACGTTCAACTGTTGCTCTTCAATATTAGGAACTAGCTGTTCCCGTACCGCTGCATCCGCGTGAAATTATGAAAATTTTATTTTATTGTTTACACGTATCAAATTATCAATAGCAAATGTCAAAATGACATGACATGACAAACATTGTCAATCTTGCTTTCTTGATGTTGGCAGCAACTTATGGTATCTTTCCCACATTAGGGTTTTCATCCAAAATATTTAACCCCTAAGTTTAATATCGTGAAAATATAGCCTAAAGCGTGACGTAAGTAGGGCTTTTTATTAAAAAAGGGATTATTCAAAAATATGTTGTAATTGCTGACATCTTAGGCAACAAAGAAGTGTGTGTTTACGCTTTATTATAATAGTATAGATGAGATACAAATATTTTTTTCGCAACTGTCGTTTCCTGCAATGGTTTTAATAAACAAATCTATATTTAAATCTTGGCGCCAGATGGCGCAATGTGTTTTTCTTCATACACATTCTCGTGTATACCAAATGTTTCTAGAAAAAATAGAATAACAATAATATTGAAAGCATTATATTTTAAATTATTACGTGATAAAACATACTGGGTTTATATCTATCATTTCCCTGTCCTTAACCTACCAGGATATGGCCTTCATCGATCGATCTTCCATCTATCTTTCGTCAACTCAATTGTCACTTAGAGAGTGCGCACACTGTTTAGTCGTACTTTGATTCCTAAGAGCTTATATGGCTACACTACTCGATATTTTGTTGTGTAACTAATATTAGACAACTTATTTAATTGATACTGTCGCTTTAAACTTAGAGCAACACTACTCGTCAAGACTCTGAATGCGCGCCAATCTATCCATCCTTCTTGTGACATTGACAGCTGTCAGCTAGGGACGTGACGTTTATGCCGATAATCTAGAGTTGCGCCAATTCTATAGCACGGTACTAATTTTGTTCCTAACACTAAACAGTTGCATTGGCTGCGAAACAATCGACAATCGCACAATAGTTGTACGAATTAGTTAAAGGTTTGTGCTTTTAATCTTTTTGTTTCCTTCGCTATTTAAATTGTTTATTCTTAATTCAAATGTAAGAAAACGACAATCGATAAAACAGATTAAAACGGAACATTTTCAATTAGTTAATTGCGTAAACTATTTACATGTTGTCAAAGAACACTTCTATAAAGGTATTATTTATAAAATAATGGCCTTAACTGCGTTGTGAATTCATAAAAAAAGGAGTGGTTTTATTTTAATATAGTAGCGGAAGTATGTATTTCTTACAGGATAAGCTGTAATAATTGAAGTTTCATTGCGGTAATGTGGATTTAATTAAAAAAACAAAAATCGTATATTATTAATAAATATTAGAATAGAATATGAGGATAATAATCTAATTATTACTTTTAGTAAATTTCCTGAAGTAACAACAGTAATAACATCCAAGTTTAGTTAGTAATGTAATTTATATATTATTTTAATACTAGTTGTTTCCGTTCGGCTTCATCCGCATGAAAATATGGAAATTTTATTTTATTGTTTACACATATCAAATTATCAATAGCAAATGTCAAAATGACATGACATGATAAAACTTGGCAATCTTGCTTACTTGATGTTGACAGCAACTTATGGTGTCTTTCCCACATTAGGGTTTTTATCCAAAATAATTACCTCCTAAGTTTAATGACGTGAAAGTATATAGGCTAAAGCGTGACGAAAGTGTAAGGCTTTTTATTGAAAAAAGAATTATTCATAAATATGCTGTAATTGCTGACATCTTAGGCAACAAAGAAGTGTGTGTTTACGCTTTATTATAATAGTATAGATTTACTAGGATTTACCTTGATTCTATGGAGTACTGTGAATTTTTGTAACATTTGATTATAAGAAATAACGGTTTAGAAGTATAAATTTGCCTGTAATCATGTAAACACTTCTAGGTAAGATATTGTAGTTGCTTTGTAGAAACAGTTATAATAATTCAGCTGTACGATACACGCGTATATTCCTCTTTTATTTTAAATGCAGTGAAGTTTTAACAAACAATTTACTAAAAATCCATCTAAGTTACTTAACAAATAATAATGTGCCAGTAGTTAAAGAGACGGGAAAGTTAAAATAATGTCAGAGTTAGAAAACAAAATGGAAAAAATCAAGAATAGATTAATAAAAATTCACGGGAAGATACAAGATACTGTCGAAGATATCCAAGATCAAGTACAGACGAAAATAGAAAAATCTAGACTTGCAAGTTTTGTTTCTCATTTATCAGAAGAGAGAAAATCTATCGACTCCGAAGACAAACTTGAGTCAAATGTTATTAAATCTAATAGTATACCATCAGTTGTTATCAACGAACCGATAGATGGCGTTGATCAAAAGGAAATCTGTCGAAATTTCATTAAAATAGAAAGCAACGGCGCCATTTATAGAAGTTTGTCGGAATCAAACTTGGCTTTTGACGATGAGATTTTTGACAGCTCAAGTGATTCCTGTATCTCGTGTTTATCTTCCAGCGATGAAAGGTAAAATTAATTCTGATGTTTCTAAAGTAATTATTAAGGAATTATTCAAACAAATAGAAAGGAACAAATGGAATATAGTTTTTTTTTAAATACCATAACAACGTTTTTAAACGAAAAAAAAAAATCTCGGGAGTATTTTAAAACTCTGCACTTACCTCATTCATTTGTTTTATGCTTCCCATCTGTTTCACACAAATTCAATCTTAACAATTTTTATTACATTGTTGAAATTTTCATTAAAACAAACAGAAGTTCGGATATAAGACCTCGAGCTGGTAGCTGCCCTCCAGGCCAGAAGCTAGATGTACCCAGTAGCTGTGGTGACTTGATAGAAAAAATCAGCAACCGCTTCCCCGGACTTAGGAGTAAGGGTGAACGGATTCATAGGGTATTATGATTTAAGAGCCTTTGTTATGGTGGCTTTTGCACGTACTGTGTCGCACTAAATGGTGTTCTGTTAACTAACCCTCGAAAACGCTTAATCTATACTCCATACTAATATTGAAAAGAGGAAAGATTCGTATTTTTGTATGCATTAAAATAACTCGAAAACTACTTGGCCGATTTCAAAAATTCTTTCGCCATTAAAAAGCTACGTTATCAGTGAGTAACATAGGCTATATTTTTGATTTTTTTTTATCGCTGGCGAAGTCAGCTTTCAATAAAGGAGTTGCTTATTGTAGATTATGCGATCATTTATGACTGAAATGTATCTTTAGTCCTTTAAAAGTTTCGAAAAAAACTCTTGGAGTGGAATTCTTATTAAGCAAAACTAAGGTTCTCTTAGTAATCTTTGAAAGACGCTGTGGAGAGTTGTTTTATAGTCACTAAGTAAGTCCCTTAGTGTTACATAGATATGATAAATGTATACTAAAGAACTATTAAACGTTTCTGATTTTTTTAATCTCTTCTGTAAAACTAACAGCTGTATTTGAAATTATTGTTGTTTATGATTCTACTATTGACATGGGAACGACAGTGTTTTGTTTAATCTATTAAGGGGCTGTCCCACCACTGGCTGATAGAGGCTCAGATAGCTTGAAAGTGACGTCACTGTCAGATAAGGTAACAAAATCCGATATTTCCATCACATATTTTACACTGGATTGTTATAAGACAAGATACAATTTGGTGGAACAGGCCCTTAATTTGACGTGTATACTAACTCGATTTTATTTTATTTATATATTTAAATATTGGGGTTGTTTAAGTAATTCGCTATTGTATTTAAAAGAACATTCTTGGATTTAAATTTCTTTCATCCATGACTTTTATACCTGAAAAGCGAGCGCACACCTGAAACTAATTTATCGCACACTGTTTAGTTGTGCAACTAAACAGTTGAATAGGCTGCGAAATCGACAATCGCCCATCACTTGTGCGATAGTTTAGTCAAAGGTGTGCGTCCGCTCTAAATATCTATCAGATAGTCAACCATTAAATCTAAACTCAATAATACTATAGTATATTTTAAAAAATAATTGATTTTAGAACACTGAGACAAAGCATATAAGCCCATTATCAGTTACTGCGTAAAATCCAGTTTTTGATGTAAAAGTCATCATGTCACGGACTTTCCACTGTTCTTGATAATTTATATTCTCCCCTGATTCAATTTCGTCAGTGAATCGTCTTTGTTGATGAATCAATTTCAATTGACGTCTTTTATACTGATATGATGCGTGAATTGGAACATAGTTTGAGGTTATATTCCCAACTATTACTATGACTAGAGCGTTGCGATTGTCGATTGTTTCGCAGCAAATTCAACTGTTTCGTTGCACAATTAAAAATCGAGTGTGTACACCTCCATATAAGGTCATAGGAATCGAAGTACAACTAAACAATTGTGCGATAGTTTAGTTGCAAGTGTGAGTACGCTCCTATAGTATTATTATAATAAATTGTATATTTATAACAATAAAAATGTAACTTACTTTGTTTATTAGGAACAAAAATTGTTAGTGATAGGTGGTATGTTACGCTCTGTTTGTCCTAATACCTGACTAAAAATTACTGGCGCGTATTGTATCGCTTTCTTAACTAACTAAAACATGTGTTAATAATAAATATGTTAAAGAAAATATCGAAAACTTTAAACTGACGGCTAACTGCCACATAATGTTATATAGTTAAATTTATATATGAGTAACTTATAATTAAATGCGCGTTATAGACGCTGCCCTGAGTGTGGGTTTCTGTAATTTTATGTATGGTTACGGATAGTATATATGAATTTTCGGTGGCCACGATACAGGCATTGCCTAGTGTGGCCATCAACAGATGAACTCGAATAACCAATATATAGTAACTTAAGATAACAACTATGTTTAATTTTCTGTCATGTATAATTTTATGTTATTGTCCAAAGTTATTTGCCTTTGTGTAATCTTTACTGTTAATAAAAAAAAATATTTCAAAATTTTCATTTTTCAATGAATATAGGTAACGATTTAAAATGTATCAAGTAATGTGTATAAATAATTAATTTTCTATTTTTCAGTATCTTTTGAAGAATACGAGGTTAAGTGACGTTAACAAACGACTAAAGGCTCAGATATGGAGCTCCGTGGTGACGATAGTTCTTGTTGAGGCGAAGAATTTGCAAGCGATGGATGTAGATACTAGATCTAGTGATCCTTATTGCAAATTTAGGTGAGATTGTTTTATACAGCATGATTTAGATAAACCAGGACATAAAACAGACAGTAATGTGAAAACTAACTATCTGAAATGCAATCGTATAACAAAAACAATAGAAACTAACCTAAATCTTTAATGAATATCTTCTTGGATCTTCGAAATAATTTTATGCAGGAGATATATTATTCGACATTTGTTTTATATGTTTATACATTGGTACACTTCTAAGTAGTTTACCTTGTTTAAAATATGGAAATTTTACTCGACAAATTTGAATATAACGTATTTATCCGTAGGTTAGGTAATGAAAAATACAAAAGTAAAGTAGTATGGAAATCCCTTCATCCATCATGGCTCGAACAGTTTGATCTACATTTATATGACGATCAAGAACAAATACTGGAAGTGACAGTGTGGGACAAGGACAAACAGACTAAAGACGACTTTTTAGGGAGGTAGGTATGTTCCTTTCTATTATAAAATTGTAGTATTACCTTGTAAAACCTTAACAATCGAACAACTACCACTTTTATTGCTACGTACTGAGTAAATCAGTAGCTATCTCTTTCTTTCCTGTACGCTTCGTATATATCTTTCTCTCTCATGTAACGAAATATGTCAAGTTAGGTCATTAAAATATTGTTTTTGTCTAATTATCAAAATTTAGCATAACAAGTTTGAATTTATTGATAAACATAGATATATTTTCAGATGTACAATAGATTTATCGTCATTAGAAAGAGAGAAAACGCATAATATATGGCAGGACTTAGAAGATGGAAATGGACAGATATTTCTATTGTTAACTATCAGCGGCACCACGCAATCGGAAACTATTACTGATCTAACTAGTTATAAAGAAAATCCTAGAGATATCGAAATAATAGAAAAGAGATATGTAAGTTTACCTCTACTAATAGTTCTCTGCAAAATTTACTAAAAGCGTACGCAAATCTATGACTATAGTTGCTCTAAATAATTTATATTAGTTTGACAATTCATTTCAAATTTAGTAGGGATGGGTTGTGTGAAATCAGTCATGAATATTATCGATTTTTGATTTTTAATCTTATAGAAGTTAAAATCGACAGATTTATAGTAATAACTTATGAAAGAAAAAAGAAACCACTGTTTTCTCACATTAATAATGACCATAACAAATAATGAGAGTAAATAAATGTCTATTACTACTACAGCCGTACATAATCGAATTGGATTTCGCTTTTATTTCTGTCATCAATACTAGAATTACCCTTTAAATTAGTGAATAAGAAAATAAACATTTTAGTTGAGTTTGATAATTATTTAAATCGAATATCGATCGTTCAAAATTATACATTCATTTATCAAACTAATCTAAATTATTTAGACACACTATAAACTATCGCACAACTGTGTAGCCTCGCTTAGATTCATATGAGCTTATATGGAGGTGACACTACTCGATTATTAGTTGTGCAACTAAACAGTTGAACTGCGAAACAATCGACAATCGCACAACAGTTATGCGGTAGTTTAATCAAAGTTGTGCGCCCGCATCAAACCACATAATACTTTGACCAGGTGATCCATGTTTTACATTTGTTTTTGTAAAATCATACTAATAATATAAATGCGAAAGTTTAGATGGATGGATGGATGAAGAGATGTCTGTTAGAGTTTGTAGCCTCAACGGATCTTGATGAAATTTGGTATAGATGTAGAGGATAGTCTGGAAGAACACATAGGCTACTCAGTTTTGTTTTTTTTATTCCCACGCGGACGGAGTCGAGAGCGAAAACTAGTGTAGTATATTTGTGTGTACCAAAAAGTGGATGAAAAATTGGAATTTAGCTTATAAACTAGTGTGAATAGGCAAAACAGCCACAGAGAATTAAAAATAAAAGATTTTTCTATACTTTTTCTTAAATACTGTCATTTTATCGTTTTAGTTGTGGTACCGTCTCAACGAGCACTCGAGCGGTGTGGGCTGGCTGTGTGTCAAAGTGTACGGCGCCAAGGGCTTGGCGGCGGCCGACCTCGGCGGCAAGTCTGACCCCTTCTGTGTACTGGAACTCGGCAACGCCCGGCTTCAGACACACACGGAGTACAAGACTTTAACACCTAACTGGATGAAGATATTTACTTTGTAAGTTTTATGTTACTCTTAATTGAAGGTATTAGGCTTTTTAAAGTATTAACTAGCGATGTCTGTAATAAGTAAAATAAAAAAAAATAAAGAATGTTTCGTGCTGTTCCTTTTTGCAAGACACAAACAAAGATAACAATATGCAGGTTATGACAGTTGTAATTAGGTTTCTAACCTAACTTTCAATCATGATTCAATAACAAAAGGTTGAGAAATAGTTGATTTAACGGAGGTGGGGATGCATAGGGATGGGAAATAATATTTTTTGTACGTTCCCTTCTTTGATCCGCAGTCATTATATCGCTTGTCTTGCGGATGTCTATGGAAAACAGTCGCTTCGGTATTTCGGCAAATTCAGGAGTCCTTTTGCTCCATTGCCACATACATATTAAAAAAAAAAACAAATATTTTTATCTGTGTAATTTATTTTTTTTAATTCGATACTGTCAAACGTGCCAGTGCGGCCATTTACAATGACATCCGTATAAGTTTAACTAATATTTCACAGTACAGTCAAAGACATCACATCGATACTAGATATTACTGTCTACGATGAAGACCACGACCACAAAGTAGAGTTCCTAGGTAAACTGGCGATACCACTTCTGAACATACGCAATGGTGAGAAGCGATGGTTCGCGCTCAAAGACAAGAAGATGAGAGCTAGAGCAAAAGGGAATTATCCACAGATATTATTGGAAATGATGGTCATATGGAACCCGGTGAGTTGACTGAGACATCAGGGGATCTAACACAAAAATTTGCAAGAAGGTATTCGAAGTAGAGAATATATGCGATTTGTTAGTACTATTCACACTATAGAGGTACTACAAAAATCGAATACTTTACTCGACGACATTTTTAATGTTTATTTTTTTCTTTGTTATTGGGGTGCATTAACTGGCTACGCGCTTGTTAAAAAGATATTCAAATAAATAAAGATTTATGGAAGAAGCATACTTTACTGACCTGTAGAGAAAATAGCGTGTTAATGATTGATATTTCTTTATTTACGTTTAAGCTTAAAGCTGCAATAAGAGCAGTAAATCCAAAAGAACCAAAATACATGCATCAAGAATCAAAATTCAAACGGCAGCTGTTTATAAGAAATGTGATGAGATTAAAAGCGATCATAATGTGGTTCATTGAAGTCGGAAAAATATTACAGTAAGTTACTTAATAATTACACCCTTTAGAGATATCACTTCGCCATTCGTCACTTCGCCATTCTGGCGGATTCAGGTGGTCGCTTGCTCGTTTGTCACCTTATGATATAAAGAAAAAAATAAGATGCAACACAAACGTCCTACACTGTTACTTTAAATTATAACGACTTCGCCCGCGTGACATTAAAAATATAGCCTATATCATTTAACAGTGGTAGAGCCCGCTTTAACATCTTCGCACTGTAGGGCTCTCAGCAATACCACGACCACACAGAAAACAGGCGTGAAGTGGAAGCAATGATGAGTGATGACTTTTCCTTTCCACCCATCTCTTAAGAGGAAAGGATTGAAAGGTAAAGTGGATTTGACGGTGGAGGAGACGCATATGAAGGGGAAATGTCCTCTTTATGTGTGTCTCCTCCTCCGTCAATGAAGGGTAGGCAACGCATCTGCAATTGCGGATGTTTATGGGCAGCGGTCGCTTTCCATTTCGGTGGATTCAGGTGGCCGCTTGCTCGTTTGCCACCTCATAATATAAAAAAACACAGATAAATTATCTTTTTAACGTTGAATGAATTTTTAAAATCAGCTCAATAGTTTCTGAATTATATCAATACATACAAAAGTACAAATGTTTCCTTTGTATAATAGTAGTATAGATTAAGTTTTAGTCGAAATATAAAAAATACTTTAGCTAGTAATATGGCTATTTACATTAGAATGTTCTCTACCAGTTCATTCTTTTTAATTCAGTTCTTTCCTAATAACTGAATGCGATTTCCATATGTTTGGAGTTTATATCTATACTAGCTTTCGTCCGCGACTCCGTCCGCGTGGAAATAAAAAAAAGTGAGTAGCCTATGTGCCCTTCCAGACTATCCTCTAAATCTGTACCAAATGTCATCGAAATCCATTCAGCCGTTTAGGCTACAAACTCTAATAAACATCCATCCATCTAAACTCTCGTATTTATAATATTAGTAAGATATACGAGTATATTGTATTCAACATAACCGATGTTTTTAACAGCTGATCTCATTACCGAGCTGAAACTAAGAGTGGTCAAATGTGACCTATTAAATTGGTCTACCTATAGTCTCCTAAAGGACTCATCCATTAGTCTAAAATTATTTTACCTTTCAGAGACTGTTTCGAATGGGAATCTAGATTAAGATCGTTCCTAGGTCTACTGGCGTGGCTCGCCTTTTGTTACTACTACCAGATGTGGATGTTGCCGTTTCTACTTCTAGTCTTCTTCTCGAGGAACTGGCTCATCTACAGACTTACTGGTGAGTACAACACGGTCACCGTAACGTGGTAGTATGACCTTTATCTGGTGACGTTCAGTCAAAGAACTATAAACAAGTTCTAGGTATTATATCAATATGACTGATGAATTTGAATTCCCATATTACCAGTAATTACTCGCTAAAAGCTATTTCCTACCTTTTTGTTATTCTTCTCTTAGTTTTAATTTTAATAGCTTTCCAGACTATGCTCTATATCTATGCTAAAAATCATGAGGTTTAGTTTTTTTTTATCCAACATCTACAGACTCTTAGTCCATACTCTTTTATATTAATAAATTGTGCATTATATATATACTTTTTTTTTCACTTTTCTTGTTGCGTAATCCTTGTTATTACAATAATGAGTTCTTTTTTATTTTATTACATCTTTTTTCTTTTTTTCCATTGCTTTATTAATGTTTACAAATATCAATATAATATGGAGTCTATTCTACAAACTTAACAAACATCCATCCATCTAAATTTTCGCATTTATATATTTTTTAGATTCAGACATATTTAGTATGTATTTGACTTATGCTTGTTTTCTGTTAATTCTTTTAGTACGTTTAAAAAGTTTCCGGAATAACCCATGGGGGTATATAGAGAACATTTTTGGTAGTAAGTAATATGCGTGCGTGATAACGGCATGTTTGTACCGTGGGCTTACACTGACGAACTCAAACAAAGTACACTTTGAAAGTAACTGAAGTAATGTTTTGTATGGGTGTGATCCTGTTGTAACTTACGAGTATTATGACTAACAAATGTGTTCCTGTTACTTATTTGACACTAGCTTGTAAACGCAACTCTGTGCACGGAATTATAAATTCATAACGGTCTGTCCCACCACTGGCTGGTAGCTCAGATAGATTAAAAGTGAAACTGTCAGATAAGGGAACAAAATGCGATGTTTTCATGAAATGTTTTACATGTTGCATTGTTATCAGGCAGTTTACATTTTGGTGGGACAGGCCCTAAGTATGTTCTAGACTGGTTTATATCTGTGCCTTTCATCTACATTAGTTAAACCGTTTTGGATGTGTACTAACAAATATTCATCCATCCAAACTTTTGCATTTAAAATATTTGTATATACAAATATCTTTTTAAAATGTTCAATTTTGTACTATTACTACTAAGTACACATGATAGTACTAAGTACTAAGTTAATATGAACATTAGATGTTAAAAACTAGGTTTTATTTAAAGAATAACCTTTTTAATTTAGTTTTTTTTTCCAGGAGGTAATCCGTTATTATTGCCAGTTGATGATGAGGACTTACTGGCTGAAGAAGATGACGAAGAAGAAGTTGATAAGGTTTGTAACACACTTGCAACAATACCACGACCATAGACAAGCGCCAAGTTGGAAATATCCGTTCACTGTTGGAAGCAAATTCGAGTCCGTTTCCCACCTTTATAACAAAGAAAGAGTGAATGAGCTCGTTTGTCACCATTTATTATGAAAATTTGAACGCGGTGTGTACAAGTCTTTAAATATGAACCTTTGTGTATTTATAGGAAGAGAAGAAATCATTAAAGGAAAGATTGCAAGCGATACAAGAAGTCACGCAAACTGTGCAAAATGCGATAGGTTATGTCGCGTCATTAGGAGAGGCTGTTAAAAAGTTAGTGCATTTTTTATTTTAAATTTGAAAATGGAACATGAATGTTTATAATAATTATTTCTATGTAATTTACTTTTTTTTTCAGCTTAATGAACTTCACGGTGCCATGTCTTAGTTATTTAGCTATATTTATGTTATTTGGAGCTATGCTGGTCTTGTATGTTATACCGCTGCGATATCTCCTGATGGCTTGGGGTAAGACAATAAATACAGGACATCCGAGTTAGCACATCGGGCAAAAGAATTATTATATGTCCGATGTGCCAAATACCTGGTGTGATAATAGGCTTAATAAACATATTTTACATTGTTATTTATATTGTAGGTGTAAATAAATTTACAAGAAAAATTCTCAGACCACACACGATACCAAACAATGAAGTTTTAGACCTGCTATCACGAGTACCAGATGATGAGATATTGGTGAGTATGGCAACATCGTTAATGTAACATATAAATTGAGGCACACTGTGTTAAAATTACTAATTAATGTCCAATTCAAATAATTTTACACAAACACTAAAGAACAACAGTTTCTTAATTATTAGACCTGCCCATGATTTTAAAATCAATTCATAGAACAAAAATTTAGTCGTTTCAAAATGAGACAACTAGTCACGCAAAGTTTTATGAAATAAACATCACGAAAATTTTATATCTTCTTTCTTTCTTGATTTCTTACAACTATTATTTTGTTTTATTCCAGCTTGATTGCAGAGAACTTAAACCTCATCCACCGAACGAAGCTCGAAGGGACGCAAGAAAAAAACACAAAGCCGCCTAAATACAGATTATAGCTTGTCAAGAAAGAAAAATAACAAAAACAAAAGGTCATAGACAATTTGATAAAGCAATGTTGTCAGCTTTTTATAAAACTACTATTTAGTAACTTTTTAAATTTGTGCTACTGTTGTTAAAATATTATAAGTATTTTAGCAACGATGAAGTGCAGATATTTTGCATCAAACAAACGCAAAAAATTGTTATTGAAATATCAGATATAATTAATTGAAATATAAGATTTATGGTACGGTTAATAAATTATGAAAAAATTGCTCTGCATTTTAGCAGCGTTGCACAAGATCTGATTATTTATAGAGATATATAATTTACTTATAGTAATCATTTCGTATTTAAATTAAAAATCAATCGTCCATGTAATGAATACCATTATTAGATAGGAAGATGTCATTGTAGTTAAAAACTTTACGATAATTATTATTTAATTTTCTGTCTACTGTTTTAAAATGGTTCAATGATAAATTTTGTTCAAAATATAAACTTTGTATATCGCATATTATTATAAAAAATTCAAAAACAGTATGAATTATGTCAAATCTTTACATAATCATCACTTTTCATAAATCACCTTATATCTTTAAATATATTTCACGTTTTAAATATCTTACAATTTTCACATACTAATATTAGGTATTTTCAAACCAAAAAGCTTTACTAAAAATTGAGATCTGTGAAAGTAACCATTAAGATAATTCTATAAAAATTGTATTTAAAGTATGCATCCCGACAACAATGAAACAAAGCAAAATATTTTGTTTCTATCTGTTAATCAATTTTTTTGTGTTTCACGCATTTATGTGTTTGCGGTGAGTATTGCTTTAAAAACCTTTGGTCCTTTATTAATTCATTCACAAATTAACAGTATCTAGTAATTATTGAATGCAAAATTGAAAAATATTTACTAATAAGACAAGTAAATTCTTGTTTATGGATAATTAATTCATTTCATATAAAATTAAATAGAATAATATATTTTCTGCCAAACAAAGTGAGATATAAATTATTAGCATCGTCAAAGT